TACGTTTGAGATGGCTAGGTTGGCACAGGATAGAACAGCATTTAGAGCTCTTGTACATAGGGTCGCTATGAGTCGCAAGCGACTCGATGGCACATAGCAACAACAGCAACAAACTTTCTCTTATTCTTTCAGGTAGTGCCTTCCAGAAAAGTAAGGGGCCGTTTTCTTGTTACTTACTAAGGTGGAAAGAGACTCAAGTAGTTCCTGGGTAATAAACATTCAACATACATAGCCCAACTTAAATATAACTTATTAGTCAATTCCTGTAAAGCCCTTTCACAGTTTTTAAATGCATACAATCGTTGCTAATAATAAATGGATTCTATTTTGGAATGCACGTTATAGTATTACATTAATGATGATGTATTATATCAGGAAGTGTTTCTTTAATTCTACATTGTATACAAATATTTTGGTGCCACCTTGAGCTCATATTGCTCAGCTTACAAATTAAATAAGTATAGAGAAAGAACACAAACCTAAAATATACCTTCCCCTATATCTGTTCAATCTGTATGCTGAACACATTATTCAAGATGCTAGACTCTATGAAGAAGAAAGTGGCATCAGGATTGGAGGAAGCCTCATCAATAACCTTCATTACACAGGTTACACAATGTTGCTTGCTGAATGGGAGTAGGACTTGAAATGCTTGCTGCAAAACAACAAGACTGCAGCCTTCAGTATGGGTTGCATCTCAAGATCAAGAAGACAAAAATCCTCACCACTGAACTGATAAGCAACATCATGACAGATGGAGAAAAGATTGGAACTGCCAATGATTTCATCTTACTTGGATCCATCAGCTGAGGTATACAGCAACAACAACAATATATATTATTTACTAAGACAAAGATTTGACTGATATTATATATAAGCCATAGTTAATTGTTCCAAACGACACATAAATATGACTTAAAGATAGATAGAAAAGTGGAATTTGTTCAAAATCCAGGGAATATTTATAATTATAGGCAAAGAGAAGTAAGATGACTCAAGGCAAATCTCTATCCTGGTACTTAGAAGAGCCGTAGGCTCAAAAAAGTTGGGCTAAAATTACAAAGCTTGTGTTCTCAAAAAACAAGTATTCCTATTGGTCCTGCACTGGCCTTACTCAGAAGTATGTCTGGGACAACAAGATCCTGAGATGCACCTATTTTCCTCCAAACCTTTCTCATCCAGTATTATTGGAATGTTCCAACTTCTAGGAAACGTTGAAGGTTAACCTCTTACTCTAACCCTTGAAGACATAAATGATAATCAAAGAAACTTTTTTAAAACCTCCACAAGTCTTATTCTTCCTACAAGGAAAAAATAACATATCTAATTTGAGGACAAGTCAATTTACACCTAGCCTCTTTTCCTGGGTTCTGCTTTGACTTTGTCAATATTGTAGCAGCCACATGGAAGTTCTGAGAGGAAAGGAAGTGGATTTGGTTGATCCACATCAGTTGAGACCCAAGTACAGAGAAAAGGGAAGCACTCTATGTGACAACCAGAGAGCTTTTGGTTGCTTTGTTCTTTTCATCCCCACTGATAAGCATTAGGACCTCCTTATGTTGATGTTCACTTTGATCTATTTTGGTGCAAATGCAAATCTCTTCTGGTGGAGCAAATGAGGAAGAAATAGTGAATGTCTTCTGAAATTCTGTGAGGAATTTCACTGGAAACTAAGATAAATTTTGCATGTGGGCTTGGACAATTTGAAGTTAAACGTCCAACAGTCAAGTGTCTTTGGATCTGCAATAGAATGGTAAGAGTGCATGAAGGCTTGAGTGAAAAACCGATATGTTTTGTAGAGTTTCACTCAAACCATAGTTAAGCACACGCACACACACATACTCAGAGAGAGAGGAGGAAGAAGGAACTGTAAGGGAAGAAACATTTGTTCATGGAGCTAATAGTTATTTTGATTGCTGTGTTGTTATTGCTGTATGTCCTGGAGTTGGAACCAAACCATAGCACCCTCCAGTTATGGGAAATCATATGTCTTAATAGGTCATTCAATTATGCTAAAAAACCCCAAAACCCACACATATTTTTAAAAAGAACAATTTCTTGGCTCTAAGTCTTTCTTTGACCTCTGAGATTTCTGTGTCTTTGGGAGGTCTAGCTCTTGGCCTCCCATTTCATTCTGTGACTGCTACAGAGGGATAGCTAACTGGGGTGTCAGAGAATGTCCCCTTCTTTTCCCTGTTATATTTTCTACAATAAATAGTAGGAACTCTGGACCATGCAGTTGGCCAATCCAGTGCCTTTGAGGTCACCTTGGACTTGGAGCCAGACCTCAGGCTGTGTCTGATATCTGTATATATATCTACTTTTTTGTCAGAACCAGTGGAGGTGATTGTGGACTCCACAGAAAGTTGCAATCTATTTGTTATCTTCTTCTCATGACTAAGATCAAGCATATTGTTAATGGAGGAGAGAGCGTGGGGGGTGTGTGTATATATGTGTGTTTTGGGATAAGGGTAGAATGGTGGCTCGTGGATTTAATTCTTTATATCCTGAGCATGTTTTTTTGTCTAATGTTGCAACTATTTAAGTAACATGTGAAAGAAGAATTTCATAGTATCAGAAGAAAGTTTAATTGAAGTATAGCTCTATATACAAAGGGAGTATAAAAATAGAAGCTTTTGTTTCTGGTTTAAAAACAACCAAATATTATGAAAGGGATGATGTGTGTTAACATTTTCTGAAAGCTGAATGTGAATCACATTTATAGCACAATTTTCTCAAATAAGATAGAAGCATTTTACAGTAGTTCATTTCTAAAAACATGCATTTACTCACTTGTTTTCGTTTGTAGGGTCATAGCGGGGAAACGGATCATGGTCATTATCATTAAAATCATAGCTAGCCTCTGGATCCTAGAGACAACAGAAATAACACTGTAGCATCAAAATAAAAGCAGCATAACCCAAGACCTCTACCCTTACCTTATTCTGATTTTGGACAATAGTTCAAATGCCTGTTTTCAGAGTGACTGGCACAGTCACGGGCTATTTATTATAAGCATAAACCAGGCAGAGCTGGTGATTAGAGCAAAGTGACCTAGCAATAACAATATATATATATATAGTTGTTGTTGTTGTTGTTATGTGCCGTCGAGTTGCTTGCGACACATAGCGACCCTATGTACAACAGCCCTATACTATGCTCTGTCCTGTGCCAATCACACTGTCTCTGACACTTCCATCCCGATTATCCCAGTCACTGAATCAATCCACCTCATAGAGGGCCTTCCTCTCCTGCGCCGTCCCTCCACCCTCCC